CCCGCCCCCCCTCAAAGGCATTAGTCGCCGTAGGCATTCATTTTTCACGGTTTAATAAATGTGACGCTTTTGTCTTTTCCATATCCGACAGACCCTCGCCGCTCGGCCGCACTGCCGCTAGGCGAGCGAACTGTCAGTATGCCTCGCAACAATACCGGCCACACTTCCCCTTTTCCACCCCCGCCCCGCCAACGCGGAAAAGAGCCGGGCACAAGTAAAGTTCGGATGACGTGACGTGTTGTAACGTGTTGTTGCCCCCCCCCCCCCCGATCGACGCATCGGAACAATCGGAATCGTTTTATCCGCCCAACACACCTTCACCTTTCCAGCAAAACAGGTAAACGACTCGAATATCCCTAACTGGTCATTCCCTGCACAAAATCGTTCGGTGACCACGGCAAAAACTTTCACTACAGTGCAGTGGCGTCCATTCCCCTGCCGCCTGGGTTACAACCCTAAGAAGTTCAGATGTTGTACGCTAAATGTGTTCTGGTCTGGTGGAGCGTTTATAACAACAAATAGTAAAGAAGGGGCTCTGGGCTGGACCAAAGAGGCTGGACCGAGTGGGGGTCGTCACGTGACGTCATCGCTCATCTCGTCAGCTTCAGTTCGTTGCCGAGCGTGCTCGAGGCGAGGTGACTGTTGCGCGTTCCGCGTATCGTACGTCGTTTCCCCTCATATTTCCTTCGATTTCTTATAAAGTTTTACAATGAAAGTGGCTGTGCTGTGTACGTGCCCTTCGCTGACAATGATTGGCTCTCGCCGGAACGAAAGAGTAAGTAGCCTAAATCGTACGTTCTGTCTGGGTTGGAGGTTAGGCTTTCCTTACAGCTGTTTCTTGTGAATGGCTCCCACATGACCTTGAATTATCTTTCTGCTCAACGCGCAGCATTTCTAAACAACTCTTTTGTAATGTATTTAATTTCAAACGACCTAGCAAAACATGAGAATGAGGATTCATTAACTAAAAGTTTTCTCTGCGAAAAGTTGAGATATTAAAAATGTATAGATTTTTCTGTCATTCAGATGTTAGAAATCTTTATGCACTTCAAGTGAAAACCAAAGTTACATTAATCTAACTTACGTTGAGTCATTCTTTCCCATCTCAAGTGTGTAGCTGTCGTCACTAAAAAGACTTTAACTGTCAAACTCTAATTAGTGTTTAACTTCACATTGCCCTCGTATCGCAAGCCTCCTGTAGTAGATGAGTCCATCCCGTGTTTTTCTATGGGGCAGCAAGTTTAATTAAGAATAGACTAATTTGTATAGACCATTATATCGACTGTGGAAGAAGAAAGAAAAGAATCAAAAAGCACCCGAAACAGTATTGATAAACAGATCAAACCGTTCCCTTTTTCTAGTTTTCTTGACCAAGGTAATTATTCTGGACTTGTTGGTGTGCCACAGAGGTGTACAAAAATGATCTACACACTGGTTTTTGTTCCTGTTTTCCGGTACTTTTTGATTCTTTTCTTTCTTCTTCCCCATTCGGTGGAATGGTCTATTTTGAAAAAAACAACAAAAACACCGAAAACAACAGAGAATATTAGACTGAGTGTTAAATCAGTGTTCAAGGGTTACATGATACATGAATCAAAATTTAATCATTAGCTTTTTTAAGCCTCATTCAATGAAGTCTAGCCTCCAAACACCTTTCATGATTGGGTCAACAAATTAATTCATTGGTGTTTTACGTGTTAACGTTTTGACAAGTCTGTTGCCACTCGCCTGCTCCCCCGCCACCGTGGGCACCCCACAGCAAGTGTAGCTTGTCACATCCCATCACGGGTGGTTGCCCCCAACTGCACCGTGGTGTGCAATCGCTGATTGCCATGCCACGCCACCGCGGTGGCCATGACAACGAATGGTCATTGCTCGTTACCATGACAACCGGCATGGTCGCCTACCATGGCCTTGGTGCGGGTGCGCTGCCTCCCGCCTCTGCGACCCATCATCAACCCCCCCCCCCCTCTTCCACGCCAGCCGCTCTTTCCGTCCCCACTCGTCCCCCGCTTTCCCACCGAGGGCCTTTTCCACCATCATTTCAATCACGGCGACAAAGAGAAAGGAATATGCATATATTTATTTCAGCCAGACGCGTTGTTGGCACAAGCCGACGAACCTACCATGCATCACATGCGTTCTGGTTGAAGAGCGGTATAGTGAGCTTGTGCATGCACGTCGCCCCCCCCCCCCCCCGCATGCACTCCCACACGCACGCCAGCATACCGACAGCGGCGTCATGGGGTTTGTCACAAAGGAATACGAGGGATACGGCTGTCAGTCAGCGTCCGTGCGAGCGATTACCTGGGCCTGGGAAAGGGGCGGGGGAATGCCTTTGTAGCGGTCACTGTCCCTCGTATGCAGGAGGGTGCAGCGTGGCGTTGGGATGTTGGGATGCAAGGGCGCGGAAATAAGGGGGGGGGGGGCGGCTGGACCTGGGCCCTGGGCCCCCGACTCCCATGACGGACGCGCGCTCACCTGGCGTGCCGCTAACTCTTGTTTTTGTCGGAGCAGTAGCGAAAGGGGTAAGGGTGCGGGGGTGAGGGGACAGCCACCGGCAGCACGAAGAACGACGTGGATTTGAACCCGTCCGGGTCGTGACAATGACGTACGGCAGTCGCAGCCATGATGGGGGGATGGGGGGGGGTTGTGGTGCACGACGCGGACCCCGCCGGCGGACCCGCGTGCGCGCGACGGCGTCAACGACGTGGGTCCTGAGCTGTAGCCGGTCAAGGACCAAGCTAGGCATGAATTTCTTAACATTTGTTCTGTCTCCAACTTCGAGAATATCGGGGGAAATTCTGGATCTCCCATGAGTTTCCCGATTTTTGGTGGAATTTTGCTGGAATTTTTTTCAAGTTTGCATTTTTATAAATCTCTCATTGACCGTCATACAAAACGTAGAATTTTGAATGTCGTCGAGCACATTTTGAGACGCCCATTTCCCCGGGGCAGAAGGCCGTCGAGGGGCGCCCCTGGCGGCGGCCGGTGGTAGCTCGCACTTGCAGGGAGGGGGTGGGGGCGCAGCCTGTGGTCCCCGCCCCACCCCCTCCCCGCGTAGGGGGAGCACCGTGCTCCAGCGGGGCGTGGCGTGGCGGGGCGGGGCGGGGTGGGCGGCTGTCGGGGTGCGCAGAGGGGCGCGGCGGCGTCAGTGAGGTTCGGGTTGTCGTCGAGTCCGCCTCGGCGCGCGCTGCCTCTCTCTCTCGCCTCGCTCCTGTCGCGCTTCGCGTCCGCGACGCCGCTGCCCGGCCCGTCCCGGCGCAGACTGCCGGGTGTCGCGCCTCCCCCGCGGCTTCAACTGCGTCTTTGTCGGCGTGTGGTGGTGTTCCTGCGCCTCCGGGCGACACCCCGCGACGTCCTCGCGTCGTACCCTCACGTGTGTGTGGGTGTGTGTGTGTGCTTGTGACTATTTGTGTTTGCGACTGTGTTCGTGGCTGTTTGCACTTCGCTGCACAACCACGACCCCACTCCGGGGACTCTGTGTTGCCTCCCGTGAGTGCAGCCGATTTCCTGTGGATTTGACTCGCAATACTAAGAGGATACAGCGCTCGAGCGGTCGGCACAAGGTGAGTGCCAAAGGGGACGTTGGATACTTTCTCGCGGCAGTTTTTGGAGGAAAGGGCGTGTCCTGTTTTTCAAATAGTTTGAAGAATCTTTTTAATTTTCTTCGTCATCTTTTGATTTTATTACTCGGGTTTAAAGTGCGGATTCAGTCGCATTGGCCTCTATGTAGTTAAGGAACAAAACAAAAACAAAAAAAACAAGACAAAAAACTTAAAAAAAAAAACAGGATAGAATACCAGGGCGTTTTGGTCTTCTGTTCGCCTCAGTCGTTTCCATACATTATAAAACGCACACACTTTCTCTCCAGCGCTCCTTCCCGTCTCCCTTCCGTCCCTTTCACAATTTCAACGTGACCAACTCAGCTCTTCTATTTCCGCATGGAATGTCTTTTGCCCTAAAGTCGTGCGGACTTTCTCGAGCTGGGCTGCACGGCCCGGCAGCACTGAGTGGATCCTATGCTTTCCACGACGCTCTTCATGCAAAGTGAAGGACACGACAAAACGGAAAGAGAAACGAATTAATGTAGTGTCGTTTCTTTCCCGTTTTGCACGCCGTCAGTCGGTCGGTCGGTTCGTCGAGGAGAGGCAGAATATGAGTAAAATGTAAAGTGTGGGTGGGGTGCTGGGGGCGGGGGCCACGGCGCCTGGGCCTGGGGCAAGGACCGGCCTCGAGGCGGCGGCGGAGCGCAGCGCGCTTTCCAAGACCGGCCGACGACGACGCCCCGTCGGCCCGTCCTGCTGCGGGCCACCGCCCTTTCAGTTCGGCTTACGTGGTACTTACGTCGTGTGCGTCTTACGTCATCTCTCGTGTCACCCAGTCCTCCGTCCAGCCCACCACCCACACCTCTCCGACCTGCCCGCACCGCACCCACCACGCCACCCCATCTTTCTATCTCTGACTCCCTCTGCTTCTCTCTCCCCCTCTCCCCCTCTCTCTCGATCTTCCTCTCTGCCTCCCGCCCTCCTCTCTCCTGACAGCCTTCTCTCGGGTACCTATTATTCGCGGTGGGGGGCGTGTCCGTGCAGCGCGGTGGTGGTACCTGGTGGTACCTAATTACCTTTGAGGACCTTTTATCCACATGTTCGCGTGTTTATCCGTCGAGAGACGGTGTCGGTCCTGTGCGGTCCTGTGTTTGTGAGCCTGTTCGGACTTTGCACAGGGACAACAAAGGCCGTAGCACATAGCGCCTTTTGAAGGCATCACCAGTGGTGGGACGAATGTAATTTGATTTTCTTTCGTGTTTTTTGTTTTACCCTAATGTTTTCTGTTTAGGGACATCTATTTTGGTTTTGATAACCACAATATTCAGGTAAAGACTAGACAACAAAAAAAAACGACACCCGTACAAAATTGATCTGTGTGTGCGATTTTCTGCCAACTGGAATCAAAGAGCCCACGAGGTTGCAGTTTTCCTCCCGCAGTACGCTATAGCGTAAGCCCCTCCCTATGGCGCGGCGTGGCGCGTCGCCAGGTGGGGCGGTGCGGAGGTGGAGGTGGACGACAAACAATATTTGTTCGGTGGGCCCCGTACACGGCACACGTGGTCCAAACGAGATCGCGTTCCC